AACTTGCCTATCTTGCCTAGTACCCTTTTCCTGACCTCGACATTGCTGACATGGTGTAGCTAAATGTAACACTTCCATAATCGACAGTCGCAATCCAAATTATTTCGATTATCACTTTTGCCGACAATAAATAATATTATGCTTCATTTGAAACTGATACGTAGTTGAAAAGTATTTTCTCTTCACTAGTACATCTTTGTTTCTTAGCATAATATATAAACTTAATCAGTCTAACCAACAACTATCATCTTGAGTTAACAAAGTGGTAAGACGACTAATTTATGCATTTCATAAGAATTCATTATGCTTTTCTGAAGTCATAGCTAAATGACATTGAGATAAACACATACGCACTGTTAATATTCAAATTGAATTTTCCCCCGAATATTTTAAAGAAATTTCGTTCAGCTGTAAGTCTAACATACTGAAATCACGAACGACCAACACTTTCCCTTTTAATTTTAATTACATCGCTTGCTCGGCAGAGTACTAGGCCGGTAATCCAAAGGCCACTGGTTCAAATCCTGCCGTGATCCAGATTTTCATGTTACCTTAAATCATCATTCTGTATCTATTACGTTCTTGTTCAGCGCGTATTTGAGTGTGTGTGTGTGTGTGTGTGTGTGTGTATGTATTGTACCACACCAAATGAATCAAGGGAACTTTATTTTATAAATTTAGAATGGTGGTATTAGTACCGGTAGTAATATAACATATGCATTAAGTGGTAATATAGATAAAGGGAAAAAAGAGAATAACTGAGTCGATTGTGCATCTTTTCAAGAATAGCAATAGAAAACTCAGAGTGAAAGTTCTTTTTAAGGTAGTTACCAAAGAAAGTAATAACATGTTTCTGTTGGCGATAATGCAAGTAAGGAATGTAATCTCTTCTTGTCTAAGGTGGAAAAAGTAATGGGTCACCTTTAAAATACCATTTGGCTATTCCTTTTAGTTTTATCATCAATTCTAATTGTGTCATCATCCCTCTGTTTGCTTTGTCGGTTAAGTTTCTCTCGGTTTTGTGTTTTCCAGCTTTACGCTGTTACTACTTCCATGAGATGTTTACTTCATGTCAAAAAAGATAGTAGTTTTTAGGTATATAACATCTGATCATGTACTGTCTTAAAATAGCGGTCTTAAACTTATTTTACCCAGCGAATAAAGTACTCATCCACTATATCATAGGATATTCTTATCTGCTCAGTTAGAATTTATCTTAAATATACTTTAAATTATTAAGCTAAGGTTTGTTTTATGTAGGAAGTAGAAATATAAGTAGTATATAAATTTGCTTTTTACAGCTTCGAGAATGAAATCGTTGACAAGAGTTTCCTCGCTGAATTACTTTTCTTCTCACAAAAAGGAATTAGAAGAATTTCTTCTTTTAGTAACCTATCACCGTCGATATACATCTTATGGCAGCATTATTCGCATTTGGTTTCGTCTAAAGGGAGACGGTAGAAGTGACAGGGGAATTTCTACATATTTCTAAACAAGTAGCGACGATTTTGAAGCAATAGTATTGGCTATTTTGCATATTGTTAACATCAGATATTATAACAAAAAAGGTTTTCTTCAACTAAGTGAAACTGGCAACAACCTCTCATTTCTTTTTTGAATCAAACCATGATGTGGAAGACTAATTTTGGCTAGTCACCTTTCAGCATTTCACAATTCGTCAGCAATTCAAAGTACTTTCTGGTTGACAAGAATTCCTCACTCAAAGGAAATATTCCTACCTTTTGGTATGACTATATAAATTAAATATTTTATTAACTATTCTCTTGACAACAGATATAAAGGTCACTGAGTTTAAAGAAAACTATTATTTTTGCACCATCATTGCTTTAGCACTTCTAGCATCGAGAATTAAAAGTTTTTAAAGAATAATACTGTAAGAAAGTTCCAGTGTAATCTAACAAACTGAGAAACTTAATCGCTTCAAGTCTTCTTAAAATTTTTGTTAATCTGGATCAAAGCAGCACACCTCATACTACAAGAACATAGTAGAAACTCTATTAAGGTATTCGAGTCTGGGAGCCACTTCAAAACAAACCTACCTAATTGACCCTGATAAAAATATGTCTTCCAATCAAACTTAAACAATTCAACGATCTCATTTTACTTATGAAATGGTTTCAGGTATAAATCATTCCAGAGTATATCAGAGAAGTAATAAGGGGTTCACAGTTTAACACAGTACTGTATTAAGTATTCAATAAATAATTTCGCCTTCACTTGTTATGAGAGTTTTATTAACATCTTTATTTAGTGGACATGTTTACTAAGTGGTTTTATACTGGAAACTTGTTCTTTTCTCCTGAAACCAACCAGCTTCTTTCTTAAAAAGGAAATTTACTACTCAAAGTTTATCTTGACATTATGATTTGAAGTATATCCAAATTCAGTGGTTCAGTTGTTATGTAACTGATACCACTCTTTGACGAATGCTACTTGAAAACCAGTCATATCCTCGAAAACCTTCAAAAAGAATATATAAATCCAGTTATTTACGAGAAATGTATAAAGCAAGACAATGGTATCACTATTATATCTGTGCCTAGGTATATTGACAAGAAATGCCTCAAACTGTACCCAAGAACATTTCTTAATTTACTTATTACAAATTCATATGAGTATAAACTTAGCCCTTCAGCTTCGAGTATTGAGGGAATAAAACTATTCTAACCATCGAATCACCTGGACAGATATTTAGTCAAAGAATTTGCATTATTTATATTGGAATGATTTGGCGAATATTTAATTACACATAATTTTATTTATTCACTTGTTTATAAATGGAAGTGAAGAGGTTATTACACCTGCGTTCAACAACAAATGAGGTTTGTGCGTACATACTCACATGCATATATCCCCTTATATTCTATTTAGCCACCAATCCACTTCCTTCTATCTTTTCATAAATAAACTAAACGGCATGACTATATACCAGAAAACTAATACTTCTATACTGAAAACAATATTGGAGAACAGCAATAATAAGCATAATTTCAGTGGAAAATATCCGTTCCCTATCTTCTGTGGGTAAAGTCAATCATGTGGGAACATGTATACAGAAAGACACAGAAATATCTGATCTATTCTTGTGGTCTGTTTGTCGCCTTATCTGTTCATAAAGAGAAGACAATGCATGCAAGTTATGAAATACAAAGGACGGTAGGTAATGATGAGTTTGTTAATGAAAGTATTAAGAGAAGATTAATGACAATAGTCATAACAACACTGATAATAACACGCAATTCTATTGTATTCTACAATAACTTTTATTCTAAACGATGACTAAAATTGGTTTCGTCCTTTATTTTTATGAGCAGAAGTAGGAGAAGAAGACGAAGAAGGAGAAGAATAGTCAAAAGTCAATTTTACACAGGTGCTATTTGGATAACTTACCTGATTCATTATGATAGACAAATAAGTTTCTTTAATGTGTACAGGTTGCTTATATATTCTCATGTCAAATAGTAGAAGTATATAAAGATAAACAGGCGTTTTTCTTTTAAAACATCTAGGATGTACACTTCCTGTGTCAATAAAACCGAAGGGGAATCCAATTTCAATGATTCCTACGCCAGTAAAGGAAAGTGACTGTACATCAAAAGAAAACAAGTTAGCTTCATCGTATTATCTTCATTCGATGTGAGATTAATCTAGATTCATTTCCTGAACTACTTTGTGAAACAATTATGGGTGAGACGCTTATTAGAAAGTCAGTACGTCAAGGAAACTAATGGTTTATCAATGATTCATGTATGTAAACCATTTGTGTTGTATTCTATCTGTAAAATTAGTGCTAAACACAGCGGGTTGAGATTAGAAAAAATATCTATAATGGTAGTATCTACACAGTTCCTGGCTGTTATCTGGATAAGACAGCAAGTTACAAAGCATTCCGAATTTTGTAAAGTTGTTTATACTTATTGCTATTTATTGACATTCTTGTTATTCTCCGTTGTTTTGTTGGATCAAAATGTCCGACCTCTATTGACATATGGGCTCCAATGCATATGCCTCGGTATTGCCTGAATGTTAGTTATGATAGTTTGGAATCTTCTGCCAGCCACAATCCAACCAAATTATCATAATTGTTTATACTTAATTAAAATTGCTTAAATAATTGCACATCATTTTTGGTACTGAGGAACTGACAGATTGTAGTCTGGATATTTTGGTTTCCTTAGGAAACCAGAATAAAATTCGACCAGAGGGTTTTGCCTAACTTCACCTTTCTTATCACAGAATGTGTAATTTCAGAACATATCAGTCTGTCCCACTGTGCTTTTAGGATACTATGGAATAATTTTTCATTGATTTTCCGAACTTTTTATCTTCCATTTTGTCTCTCAACCGATTTCATCATCTACACCATGACGATGACGAGGACTACTACTACTACTACTACTACTCACACTACTACTACTACTACCACTACTACTACTCACACTACTACTACTACTACTCACACTACTACTACTACTCACACTACTACTACTACTCACACTACTACTACTACTCACACTACTACTACTACTCACACTACTAATACTACTCACACCACTACTACTACTACTAAGACTAATTATGGATGACTGTAGTGAATTCATATAAAGTATATATTTCTGAAAAGGATAATTACACTTTGTGTACACGTTAAAAAAGGAATGACGAACGTAAACTCCATTCCATGTATAATCATAAAAATGAAAGAAATAATGGAGTTTTAACAGCTTACACTGCTGAATGTTGTCAAGAAGACAAAAACTGAAAAGAAGCATCTGAATTATCTTTTCAAGGAAAATAATATGGAAAACAATAATGGGAGGTATTAATGATTATGTGAAGATGTACATATATGTGAATACACTACAAAGCGATGGATCGAAAAATATATATCTACAAAAATTCCAGTTTTTTCTCCATCTATCTTCTAATGTAAATGAGTTTATTACATATCTGTCAGTACACATGTATGGGCATCTGGTTTAATTTTCTAATAAATTGTTTATTGTTTTGACCAAGGACTGACTTTGTTTTACATTGAGCAAATCTATACTGAAACAATGATTCCCGTCCCTTCTCTTGTTAACGATTTCGTTAGATCCGTTATTTTGATGACTACATTGTAGTATGTGTTTATTTAAGAGGCCCATCCGGGAGAATGAACGTGGACAATATGAACATGAATAACGTTTTTCACGTTGATGCGTTTGCATATGTGCTCGTAGATTTGATCTGTCAGCAAATGATCGTCCGCAGACTGTGCATGAATATGGTCTTTCACCAGTATGTGTACGTTCATGTCCTTTAAGTAACCATTTACGGGAAAATGATTTACCGCAATGTGTACAACGACATGGTAATGTATGCGTGCGTACATGCATTTTTAGTGCAGATGCTTGCGAATAAACTTTTGAGCATAGTTTGCAAGCGTAAGTATTTGATCCATTGTTAATTATTATTTGGTCTATACTCTGAGTTGATCTTTTATTACCATTATCGTCATTCTTCTGAAGGATTGCGTTCGCGTAATGTTTCTTCGACTTTGTACTGCACGTTCCACTTAAGGAATTGAGATTATCGTTTGTAAGTAAATGAGAACCTAACTTAGTTAACTTTAGTGGCAGGCAGGAAGGTGACGTTGATATGTTTTTTGAAAGACTGTTCCGTATAGTAGACTGATAAATATCCGATAGAAAGTTGGACTGTACAGTTTTATATAAATACGATAAGTCGTTTGAGTAATTAGTACCAAAAATATCTGAATTCACTGAGGAGTTTGTGCTGGAAAGATGAACTGATTGAAGATCAGTGGTTTGAGGATCTGTTGAACATTGATCACCTACAAGAATGTGATTAATATTATTCATATTACTGACATCATGAAATTTATCATTGATTGAATAGTAGTCGTTATTGATGTGGGATAAAGAAGGAATAGGACTTGATGCAGAGGGATTTCCTGATACTCGTAAAGGCTGGCAAAGAAATATCTTAACCATTCAAAATAATTGATTTGCAAGAGTTTAGTATAATATTCGTGAAGTTTTGAGTTAAAGAGCGATTGATCATTTGCCTGAATGTTATGTTCGCTTATATCAGGTTGATAGGGGAGTTTTGTTTTTGATAGATTATTCTCCTTCATGGATAGATTGATAGCATGGTATTCATCGGCTGATGACTCATTATTCTTCTGACAGTGGTGGTAGTGACAATGATAATTCTGTGCTAATTCTTTAGTATGCAACTTATAACTTTCTACTGTGTCAATATCGATATTGCGTATACTGTTCGGTGACTTTTCATACTGTATAGCGGCGTCTAAAGGGCTTATGTTATCTCGTGTATTGTTCACTGAAGAAAAATGAAATGCATTCCTTTGACTACTGGCATGCTTTCGCCTCTCCCGTTCGTCGTTTATTATACAAGAGAATAATTTATTCTGACATTCTGTAGCATGTCTTACTGCTTTGTCATCTTTCTCTTGTTGATGATTTAGTTGTTGATAATCCGTTTGATGTTTTTTCATTTCTGTCGAAGTATGCTGAGAATGACATAAACTAGAATCATGTGGACTAGACTTTTCAGATGGACTGGGTAATGTACCAAGAGTGGTGTTACTACAGTTAAAATCTGATGCATTCAAGTCGTACTGTCCACGATTAACTGTTAGGTCTTGAGCACTTTTCTCAGGGGATAATTCATTGGTGGACAGTGATTTTTGCATTGTATCAAACTGTGGGAAAGTTTGAATGATTTTATAGAAGAGGTCTTGAAACTGTTGTGGATTATAATCATTTGGTTGTTGTTCACGCATACAATTACTAAGTAATTTTTGACTAAGGTAACTGTTGTACAGATGGGAATCGGTGCATCCTTTGAAACTAAACGAATGCAGTTCTGGGAAATAGGATTTACTGAATGTAGCTGATGTGTCTTGCACAAAATCCATGTTGACTAACGATGGTGAAGATGATGAGGATGAAGGATGAATGTTGGTGTGCTGATTAAATTCCCGATGGGATGATATCCATGCATCTGTAGACATTGGTCAAAATATTTTGATGTAGCACAGTGCAAGTGTTTTAGATGACGTTAGATAGTAAAATTTCCAAATAGCTCACGATTCACAGTGTATTCCTGTAAAATAGATATAATTAAGTTTGATTATTTTGACCATTCAGCAAAAAATGATCACGTAGAATAGGGTAATTTTGCAGTTTAATGTTTACCACAGTTTGGTGTTTTTTATTGACAAGAAACGGTGGTTATAAAATCTATAGAAACATGCTTAGCTAGGGACTAGGTTGGATACAAAGTTCACAAATTACACGTATCAAGTCAAACCTTTACCCAAATCAGTGATTTTTCAAATATTTAGCTGTGATATTAGATAGGATTTCCTATTGAAAGATATTGTTTATATTTCCAACTATTCAAACTGGTCATAACTAGCTGTTTTGGATGGAAGTAGTCGTCAAAACGTGAACTACTTATAATCTGTTTGTGGAATGGCACAAGATTCCTTACGGTTACTGTCGAATATAACCTTGTTCACCATTATTTGCACACAGATTTCTAGTGCATACTTTCATGTGTTTTACTTGCAGAAAAAGGTTGTTTCTTACTTACTTGTAGTTCTGACTTTAAAAAGGTTGTTTTAATACATTATAGTACATTCTTAAGTGATGTTAAATGATAGAAATGATTTTTTTGCAACTAACAAAAATGTCATTAGCCTGTGACGCTTTACGTGATCATATGGTGACATTAAATCGTCATATATTGATTACTAACAGGATGACACAGAATACACAATAGTCGATCCGACTTGACAAATATATCATCATCCATCATGGTCACTGAGATCAAGTTATTTGCAATGATAATCTTTTCTAAAAAGATGAGTAGTTATGACAGTGCACACAGGTGGTTGCAGAGGTAATTTCTATCTTTATGGACTCTGAAAAAAAAATGCAGGTGATGTATAACGGTAGGACAGTAATGAGTGACCTTCGAAGTCTTACAAAATCACCGTTACTGGTCTTGTATACAAATAATACTAACAAAATCCGCCTATAGAGATTGTACATTATCGAAAATTAACTACCAGCAGAAGATTTTCTCAGATATTCTTCCCTAATTATCATCAACTGACATCGATACAAAATACAGATTCATTTAAAAAATGTTATGCAGTTGAACGGGATTCTTAAAACTAATGAATTATATTACTCTGTGGCAGTATTTATTCTTCTTCTGTCCACATAAATGACTTCTGTTTTAATTTCGAGTTGTGTCAAAAGGTTGTAATTCGTTGACTTAGGTGCTTAATTTAAAAATCGAGTCAAACTAAAGCAGTCCTTAGGCAATGAGATCATCTCAGGCATGCCTCTAATAAGGATTTATTTCTGCTTCTGTCGCCAAGAGTTAGTCTTTAAATTATCTGTGTTCCATCAGGTTACTGCAGAAGAAAACTAAAACTTTTTGAGCGAATTTTTTCCCTTTTGAAGCCTATTTAGGGAACAAACTTTCTCTCAGTAACCCTAAATTATTGACAAAGTGAAATAGGTGCTGATGAGGTCCCCTAGCCTGGTGATAAGGTGACTAAGAACAGGCTTCAAAGCTCAACACCATACAGTTATCATCGTCATCTTCAGTTGAAAATCTTCACTATCTCAGCATGAAATCTTACAGTAACTTTTTTGTTTAATTTGTGGATGAATATTTAACTTTACTATCATCAAATCATTCAGAGTTAGAAGTCCTCTTGATCTACGAACTACATCTGGCACTGAAAATAACCGTCTACTTTACTAGCTATTCCAACAGATTTACACGTATCAGTTTCAAAATTGGTTAACTCTACAGTCTGATTCAGTAGTCAATATCTCCTTTACCTTGCAGTACTTGTGCGAGGAATTTGCCAATAGATGACATAAAATCATCAAGAAAGTGGTTTCTATAAAAACCCAATGATCACAACATATCATACATTTTATTTGAAAGGTAGTACCATGATACTACCCCAGATACTTACTGTCTAACTGTTTATCGACCTGACATGTTTATGCTAAGAATGACTAAAGTGATGTCCCTACTGTTGTCTTTTCATCGAATTCATTTTTACAGCAACTTTATCTTGGCAATCTTAGTCTTGCTTCAGCTGATTTATGGTCACTTAACTAGCCACTAAATAGTCCTCATAAAATTTACCAAACTTAATAACTTTACTGACAAATCCAATCAAAATCTACTGGACTAAATCAAATACATTTGTCCTAATGAAACACAAACTAGATTCATTTCTTTTAAATACAAAGAGACCACATTACAAAAACTTGAGATCATAAAATAATTTAAATCAAATGGAATCATAAAACACGAATCAAAGCACACTTCTAGAATATGACGAACGTTTCAGGAAAATGATTATATATATATAAAGTTTATCCAGATGTTTTATAAGGCGACACGTATTAGTTTCTCCTTTTCGACTGCAAAGAAAAATAGCCATCGTTTCCAGTTCTGTTTTAGTTGATCACATAATGAACATGATTTACACCATATGCCTATTAACCACAAACAAACCGGAATTTCAATTACTTTGAAATTAATAAAAACATTCGTAAGTTCTTGAGTACTGTTTCAGAAGGGTTGTTATTGTCAAGCAGTTTTAGACTGATCACTGTCAGCTGACATAATCCATACACATAAGACTTCATGAGTAGACAGAAGTGATAGATGTGTTACAGCAAAATTAACAGCTTGGATAAAAACTGATTGATTGCTAAACAGGTAAAAAATAGGCGAATCTTATGCAAGATATATGGATGTCACAACAAGTAATGCTACTCATAAAAGATACTACCCAATGGTCTTGTTATGCCACAAAGTGTATGTTCAGCTAAAAAGAATGTTAGCTACTGGTCACTGGCTCAGTGATTAATCCTTAAGTTTTCTTCATGTTCTACCTTCGCTTTGAGTAAACGGGATATGCTAGGCATTCAAGAAACATTTGAGCAAGTGATATTCTAATACACAATCTTGGATAACCTATTTGGGTTACAGTTTCCTAGTATAATCATCTTATGTGTAACAAGTTTATGGTTGTTTTTCTGCTTTCGTCTACTTAAAAATATACAATCTTTATAAAGTGTTAATGAAATTATCTAACTATTGTTTCACAGATTTTTATACAGTGTGTTGCTATTAGGCGAAATTCCATTGTTAAGAAATTATATGACATGGATACTCCGATGTACCTATTACACTGAACTTATTTTATTTAACATGAAGTTTTTTAGTGAAATAAACGGTTATTCATTAGAACACCGGGAACTAAATGGAATATCATTGTACTTGTTTTTTTTATCATGAAACTTCACTTCCATCATCATGGTATCCTACTTCAATAAGAACCAAACATACACATCTGAGTGTTATATGGAAGAAAAGTTAGACAGAGGGGTATTTTAGGCGATGTATATACGCATGAATTTACTATACATGAAACTTCATTCTACTGCCTGAAGTTTCATTGGTTCAAAGGCTTACTTCAGTCACAAACCCTACTTTTCTTTCCTAAAAAGAGAATACTTCCACCTCTTATCAGTCTAAAAGTTGAGATAAAAACTCTGTCTAACACCGTCTTCTACCTTGAGTGGTTGAATCAACAATCACTGGATTTTTTTAGTTGTTTTGCATATTATAGTATTCGGTTCAAGACAACTGTCGACTATTTCCTACGTTCTAAGATTGTATCCAGTGGAATTACAATATGATAGCAACTGCATAAGAAAACTAATCTGATGAAGAATAAAAAACTTTTCAGAAGCAATGCATGATTTAACAGACAAAGTTATTTATTAATTGAAAGCACTCAGTCACTTTGTAGCACATCCGTGTATTAAGCGATTAGCCATACCTATTGTGTGAGGGCTAGTGATATAACCTGGCTGCCCAAACTTTGGTTGGTGGGGTGAGGTCCACACCCGTGACCTACTGGTCGACGCTCATCCACCTAAACCAATGAGCCACAGCTTCACAACAGATAATGTACCAAAGTACACGAAACAGCAAAAGGTTCCAGGTAATCTATGATTGACTATCCTCACGACACATTGCATACCAGGAGTACAGCATTAAATCACAAACACCTACTTTTGTACTGGTTAAAAATCTATAAAGCTTTAATTCATTTGATGAGAAATATTGTTTCAGCAAAAATTCATTCTATTTACCCCCTGCTCTATTCAGTAACCACAGTATGCTTGCGGACACCATAAAAAAACAACGTTAAGTGTAATGTTTTATCCCTAGTAATGTACACATTGTTTTAACTGGTAATAGCTAATTTAAGCAAAAGTATAACTAAAGTGTGCAGTGAGTTTCACGTAAATTTAGCAACGCTTCATATCTGAAGTTGAATTTGTTAAACTTTGAAAAACGGGCCTTACTGAACGATATTCGCATTCTATACTAGATCCAAAATTTCTATAAAATTATAATCCTTTTGTTGCCTACAGCCCAGGAACTTCAGAGTTAAAAAACACACGACTATTTTTTTATTTATTTCATTCAGATGATACTTTCATAATTTATAATTATTAAATCAGACTCAGGACATACCCAGAACAGACTTGACAACTATAGACTAGATATTTATCTTAAAAACTATGATTTAATCAACTCATGGTAAACACAATGAGCCTTAATTTATGATCATGAATATATGTAGAAAATATTCAACTTACGTATAGTGTATTAGAAATAAAACCAGTGGTATACCATCAGTTTGATGACCGTTAGACTTCG